TCGCACACTGCTCAAAGCTCAGTAGGAGTGTTGTGGAACACTGTTTGCTTGATGCTGTTTTACTATGTGGGAGTTGGTTTAAAGGCGAACGTAAAGAGTTTTTGTATAATACAAAACCACCTTTATGCCGTCCAAAACATCCGCGACAGATCCGCGATGAGGTTCGCGAAAGTATTATTGTTCGCAAAACATTGTCATTACTGCAATTCGGCTTTCTTTTTCACGTTATTTTCTTTCTAATGACATGGTAGAAATACAAGGCAATCCTCCAACAGAGCCGGCGGGGCAGGGCGGAAGTTTCCCCACTGCCACAGACTAACAAACTGAAGCCTCCACGTTTCCTCGAGCAGCCCTCACAGTGGTAAAGGATTCAACTGTCACAGAGTAACAGCTTGTAATCGGTCAGCGCAGACAGTGCATACAGCATTTTCCAGTTCCCTTCCATCCACCTTGCGCAGTCGTGGGGCAACGATCCGCAGCTCTGACAAGTTGTACAGATGTTGTTGTGCATGTTTATTACTGTACGTTTCCCGGGATAGTTCAAAAACATATTAACTACTTAGAGATGTTCTTTAGGAACCTCCTAACCTAACAAGCAACAGGATTCCACATGGCTTCCACGGAGCGACTCAAGAAGGGTATGGGAAAGTTCTGAATTCTGAATTTTGCTTGATGGACTTCAAGTCGACTTAATTTGCTTCATGGGTGTCAGGATGCTTCAGGGGAAGACAGGTTCGAACCCGCCCCAGGTCCCTTGGGCCGGACCGCCAAAGCGACGGCGAGAGAGAGGCGACAGTCAGCGAGAGTCATGCAAATCTTTATACATGAAACATCATGAAACAGGATGATACACTCTGCCTTTCGCGCTATGACAGTTGTGCCAGACTTTTGGTTAACATGTCTCGTGTTTGCATGTGTAACACACTTCTGCGTCTATGAGAATGCATCCTCTTTTTTGATGGCTCGAGCTATTTAAGCCGCACGCGAGCCTTTGCCCAACAATTTGCACGTGAGCTGACTGACAATGGCGATAGCCGGTGCACATGCGTTTGATATTGTGATGGGCCCTCACACAGATGAGACGGCCAATCACCCGCATGACAGCGACACCCGTGCAGATGCAGAGACACGCAAAGCCGTACGATCCATCAACCCCTTCCATCGTGGTGGCATCATCTCAACCTCCCTTTGCTTGACCCAAGCGGCCTTGGGTGTTGGACTCCTCACAGTTTCAGCCAATACAGCAGCCGTGGGGGCCATCTACCAGCTTCTGTGTCTCATGTTGGGTGGGCTGCTATCGGTGGCCAGCTTGCGGATGATTGCCATCGCCTCAGTGGCCACACAGCGTTGGAGCTTTGAAGATATCTCAGAAGATCTCTTTCATCCAGTCATGTCTCTTTTGACTGGATTCATGAACTCATCGAGTGCTCTTGGTGCGGCGGCTGCCGGTCTCATCACTTGTGGCCAGGCTTTTCAGGGGATGTTCCAAGCAGATGAGAAGACACGGAATATCTTTGTGGTATCAGTGGGGGTTTGTATTTGCGGTCCACTGGCTTTGGCAGAACACATTGGCTTCTTGAGGCACGTAGTTGCAGTCAGTTTGATGTCTTTACTCCTTCTAGTGGTGGTAACTGCCTGGTATCTCATGGCCAATGGCATCAACCCACAAATCGAAAAGCAGACCTTCAGCTTTGGCTCAGGGGACGCTACTGTCTTCACATACATGAACTGCATCAGCAGTATGGTGTATGCCTTTGCCAACCAGTTCAGTGTTCCACAACTGACTGGAGAAATGACCCCGACGCCTTGCAGCAAACGAATGACGTGGATAGCAATGCTTAGCACCTGGTTCACCTTCTTGATGTATGGCTCTGTCTCTATTCTGGGACTCTTGGCCTTTGGCATCGGTCAGGAGGATACCTTAATCCTCGACTTGATGCCAGTCAGACAACAGACCCATGTCATGCTTGCTTTTGCGGCCGTGATCTTTGGCAGCTTGGTCAGCTTTCAGTTTCATATCTTCGCTGTTCGACAGTTCTGTGCCTTTCTGGTGCGCAAAACTCGGGAGGCCATGGCCACGGCGAACCGTTCCGTGGAGGCGAACACCAAACCGGTCAAGGCGGTCAAGGCGAACACCTGCCGGACCTCGGTGGAGCGATGGTGTGACATCGTGGCGGCCATGAGCGCTGTGGCCTTGGCGATTCTCATGGCAGTGGTGGTCAACAGTTTGCAGGTGGTCTTGAACTTCATTGGATCCTTTGGAGACGGCTACGTCTCGTTCGTGGTGCCGTCCTTGTGGATCATTGCGCTGCGACGCCGAGAACCAAACTTCTCGTGGTTGCGCAAGGAGATCTTCTTCTCGCTGGCATTCCTGGCCTTTGGGTTGTTTTTGGTAGTCTTTGGAACCTATTCAGCGATTTTGCCAGACGAAGGCGCCTGAACCCATTCCAAAGTTTTGTTTGAGGCTGGGCACGCGGCGGCGCGCGGCTTGTTTTATATGTTTTTTTGGCTTGTCGGGTATAGATTGATTGCCTTCTCCATTAGCTTCTTTGTACAGACAGTCAGCTGGCAATGTTCAGCGAAGTCTGAATTGGGACAAGCCACCAGACTCTTGACTGCGCAGCTCGTCTGGCAAGGACGACACTTACTCGCGCAGGTACACAGCTTTGCAGCCATCTGCATAGCCTTCTCCATAGTGACACTTGGCCGGGGCTACCACGTGACAAAATCTTTCATTTGCTTGTACATCAATCCTGGTGTCATGTCTGTCATGTATCGTCAAACATGTTTGGATGCAGACATGCAAAACTCCACCTTGCGCTTGAACAACTAGAATATCACAGAAATCGTTAAGTCTTGGATTTCAGATGTGGACTCTGGACACTCCGTTTGTTCGAAGGTGCGCCACAGAAGCGTGAGGACAGAGGGACAGAGGGGTCTCAAATTTGTGGGCGCCGTGGACGCCTCCCGCAAATCCTCACTCTGCAAGATGCATGTTGTTGCTGGGAATCATCCTTTTCCCTGCCACACCAGGTGAACCAGAATACAAACCGTTGTTGTTTTTTTGGGCTCTTAAAGCCATCCCGAGAGTCTCAACACGGTCCTGGCCACATCAATTTGAGCGTGCTTTTTCCCATGTCTCTGAAAAACACACGCACACACCACACAATACAGATTGAAACATCGCCACACAAGAACAGCAGCTGCCGTGACTTTGTGACACTTGGAAGCCTTGAATTTCGCATTCTGCCCAGTGATGACAGCCGTGTATGTCCATTCATTGACTATGGCGCCGTCAACTTTGTGGGGTCACAGCCACAGCTAAATGTGGGGCCGCATCCATGGATTGCAAGATAGATGAACGACTGGAGTCGCCCTAGACGTGTTTCACCTGATCCCGGATTGAAACGCATCAGTACTTGTTTGAAGGCAATTCAAGGCCCTGACCAAAGATTTGTCGTCCGCTCCGGTTTTCGATAATTGTGGCCTTTGGATCCCAGTCGACTGTTTTCTTAACTGCTTCGTGGCATTGTGGGTCTTGACTGTAGGGACACTACCAGAAAGACGCGACCCGTTTGAGAGTTGTGCCTCCTTGTACATGTGCTAGCTGGATACGGGGAAAGCATAGAAAAGTAACTATATCTACCTCATAGCCTCATATTACCTCCAGTGACTCAAGTGCAATGTGTCATGTGTCGAAGGTCCAAAGTTGAAGGATTACCAGGTGTCCGGTGTTCCACATCCAAGCTCTACATTGCCCTCTTCCATCACAGTGGAATCGGACATGACAATGGCAGCATTGGGGGAAAGGGCAACTGCCAGGAGCGCCCTCTTCAGGGCCCTTCACAGCTCGCCAAGGACCGACATGGCATCAAGCGACTTGAGGCCAAAGCCGAGCCTAAACTACATCATGTTTGGATGGATGTTCGCCAGTCACCAAACGGCATCTCTGGACTCACTCCTTCGTTCATTCTGATGTTTGAGCCAGGGTGCCACCGGGGGGATACCAGGGTGCACTGACCGAGTGGAGCGAGGCCGTGACGGAGTGATATATCGGATAAGAACTGATCAGAGAGAGGCAACGGTATCCTTCGGGTTTGGGCAAATTTTGGATCACACTTTTTCACCGTTGGCAATTGGTTTTGGACATGAGTGGGTTCCCTTTCTTGAGTTCCTCTGCCGACCAAATCAGTCTGGCCTTTTGGTTTAACTCAACCCGACGGGGTCATTGAGCTTCTGGGTTTGTTGGTATTACATTGCATATAATTTATCCTCTATTGATGGAAGATGCTGAAAGAAAGCAAACAGGTCCACAGCAGTTCGCTTGGCGGATCTTGGGGGTGGCCTAATGAATTTGGGTCTAAGGGCAAGAACCTCCACACCCTGAGGGCGGAGTGGGCCAGGACGAACACCCTCCAGTGCGGAACGAACGGCTGGAGCCGGGGCTGCCTCGGGCGGAAGCAGATCCCCCAGAGCCGATCCCCGAGCTCCAAGTGCAGGACTGGAAGCTGCCAACCCTGAGGATTCAAGAAACTTTGGCGACAGTCCTGGGGATCTTTACCGCTTTACTTTCAGTGACAAGGGCATCGCTACTAGTAACAAGGGTATTAATACTAATGGACATGGCCATACAGGTGAAGCACAATGCGACCTGCTTGGCTGTTTGTTGCGCCCCTCAAACTGTGAAGCCCAGCTGACCTGGATGAGAACAAGGGAAAGCTCTTGGGCAGACTCTGTACACATCGGTTTCAACAGTCATCGACTTTGAGGAACGAAGCTGGTGAAGAGTATTCTCGACAATGAAGGGCTCATGCAAATCTCAAGGTGGAACATGTTTGAACAGAACACCTGAACTTCGAACCCCCTCCAGCTTCATAGCGATAGCCTCCAGCCCACTATAGCTAGCGATGGCCTCCAACCTAATAGCGATGGCCTCCAACCAACTAGCGATGGCCTCCAACCTACTAACATTTGTCATCAGTTGTCTAACTGTCATTAAATGTAATTGAATGTCTCAACGCACCTCTCGACACGTGCCATTAGCACGCGCTGCTGCCTGCATGACTGAGCTCGCTGGGCTGGGAATGCCACTGGGCGCAGTTGAGTCCCCTTACGTGGCTGGAGATGACTAAGTGGATTGTGGGATGCATCTACAGTATCTCTCTTCAAATACAATGCTAAATGAACATCAACACCTGGAGTATCCTGGAGTCGCAACTCACAGACGCCCGCCCTACTGGGCCTCGCTGTCTCTCACCAAGGACTGGAGACCCCGAGCGTTCTCGTTCCAGCCGAAGCTCCTTGATCATCGCAGCACCCTGGCCGGTTTGGTTTGTGCGTCGGTCCTTCCTAGCAGCACCTTGTGTATTTGTGACATCCATTCAAAGAACAGCCTTCCCAAGTGAGCTTGAACGAAACCATGCACGTTCCCTAAGAAGTTGGTATTGACGAGCAAGATAATGACTAATGACACATCCGCAGTTCAGGTTGAAGCCACACAGCCAGAGTTTACAGTGTTTGTGTAGAGATTGTCGTCAGCATGGTATACTCGAAACTGGCGTGTAAAGCTCATTCAAAGATCTCGAAGACCTTAGACATGCATGAGTCTGAGTAGCTACTCGAAGTTATTTCCTTTTTAAATATGTTCCAAATGCACATATATATATATATATACATAATTATATATTAACAGCCATACCTAACCGTGGTCTCGTGAACCAAAGAACTTTCAGCTGCGAGACGTTCAAATTTTCAGGGTTCCCACCTTTGCAATCAACTTAGTTTAGGTAGTCTACCTTGCTTTATAGACTTCCTGCTTTCGTCGGGCTTTCAGTGCCCCGTTTGGCGAAACGGGCTAAGCCGTGACCTCACTGAGGTCGTGATTTTGCTCACCACGCTAAGCCTGTTTGGGGCTTTGCTCTTCGTGCCCGAGTTGTTAGCATCTGGACTCCTGGCGTATTCCTTCGGGCTCCGCCATGCTGTGGATGTAGACCACATCGTGGCTCGAACGTTTGGTCTCGTGTGATGGAGCGGAGGAGGAGGAGGAGGAAGTTCTGGGTCAAAGTGAAAGGTTTGATCACTTGCGATGTTGATTATATATTGATTATTTGATGAAATTAAATACATATATATAGATATTATATTAGTTATAAGTCTATTGTATATATATATATATCTTATATATATTATACAACTATAAGTTTGTTGTATATATTACGTATGAACATCAGGAACGATTGAAACAGCCAAGTGTTTTTGAATGCTTGCTTCTTCCGTGGCCTTGCCACAGCATGCCCTGATGTTACCTTCCACTGATGCTAACATGGAAGCGGTCAGTTGTTTGATGTTGTTTGTGTGCACAGGAAACGGTCTACCCGAGTCTACCCAGTCCCAGTGCGTCGTGCGATGTGACGTGTTCGTTGGAGTGCATCTCCTAGGTTGGAGGCCATCGCTCTTAGACTGGAGGCCATTACTATTAGGTTCCTTTTGCCTTTTGCTATTAGGTTGGAGGCCATTGTTTCTAGGAGCAAGGACGCTACTTACTAGGGGCTCCTGGCCTTACTACTAGGAGCAAGAACGCTACTAGGAACAAAGGGCATCGCCACTAGGAGCAAGGATGCTATGAGGTTGGAGGCCATTGCTAGTAGTGACTTTCACTTTCGTCTGACCTCAGGCAGCCATCGACAACATCACTCGAAAGCTGACGACTCGCACGAGTCGTCCGCAAACCGTTGGCCTCTTGGTGGTGGCATGGAAATCTCTTTTATTTCATTCCTGGTGCAATTCACCATATTGGCTTCATTCATTTGAATATCCCCATTCCATCCCATTCCCAATTAGCTGTCATTTCCCAATTCATCCCGAGTTGGGAGGTTGGTTTGAATCACCACCAATTTCATGAATAAATATCCCACTTGGCTTTCTCATTTTACGAACCACCAGCCGTAGGCATGTTCTTTGCATTGGGCCACTCCTCAGTGGTCTTCCTCGCATGTTCTGCCATCGTCTTGGCGCAACACTACATCTCTGATCATTTGGAGATCTTCCACAGATATGGCAACATCATTGGCATCAGCGTGTCGGGCTTCTTTTTATTCTTCATCGGCTTGTTGAACCTCTACACCGCCAGACAGTTGTGGTTGAATTGGGAAAATGGCCACAACCACCCGATGATGGGATGCTGCCTCAGATGTTGTCCGCGGCTTTTTGGGGCGATCTCGAAGCCCTGGCACATGTGCCCTGGGCAATTGGTCAAATGTATGTAAATGTAAGGTTCGTAATGTTTTATCATTTGGATGGGTCAAACAGCAACCATTTGATTTGTGTACGGTCCACCTGTCTTCTTTGGCTTTTTCTGTTGACTTCTCCATTCACCGGCGAGTCCTTGGTGTTTTGAAGGGTACAATGGCTTATATCGCCCGGACCGCCATAGCCATCCGAGTGAGTGATCTAGTCAAAACTTGGTGTCTCCAGGTTACTGGTGGGCTTTCTCTTTGGCCTGGGCTTCGACACTTCGACAGAAGTAGGGCTTCTGGGTATTGTGGCTGTCTCGCACTTGAAAGCGCCGGCAGTCACCATCTTGTTGTGCCTCGCTGGTGTTCAGGCTTTCAAAATTTGAGCTTTGAGCATCCCAACTTAGCATTTCTTTGGAGAGATACCCAGATGTTGATCTTGAGACCGTTGAGAATCCGTCGAGAGACCGTTTGCCGTCCTTTGGCTACCTGTGTTTTTTTCAACTTGACCTCCATTGGTCGAGATGGCCTCCATGGCCTCCAAGAGTAGTATACCAAGTCCGCAGGAGAGCAAATCTAATTGAACTCCCAGACAATCCGCTCTAAAGGCTATTCCTCTTGAACTTGTGTTTGTTATTCGTTTATTTTGTGTGTGTGTGTGAGGCTTCCTTTACTGTTTATGTCGGGCATGTGTCTCCTGGACACGCTGAACGGCTTCTTCATGTCCTGGGTCTACCAGACGTCTCTCGAGGAGCCAAATCCAGGAAGTATCACAGTTGACGGTTGATGCTCTTTGCTATCATTGAGAAGTTATACGAGTTATATAGATTTATATAACTATATTTAACTACTTTAGCAGGAAGATGCAAGAAGAAAGCTTGGTAACAGCTTCTTTGCAGAATCTAGTGAGATAGCGTTTTCCCCAATGGAATTCTGGCGGAGGAGTTGCCATCCCAAACTAGAGTATACTACTATACTACTACAAATCTACTTTGGGGTGGAAACTCCTCCGGAATTCCACTGTGATCTCCTGTAGGATCTTTAAGGAAAGGGTTGCAATCATTTGTTTACAGGTTTGTTACCAACTGTTTTCCTGTTTGTGTAGAATTCTAGTAAAGCTATTGGCTGCCACAGGGGGCGCATGATTGTGGCTCGTAGAGATTTTGATTAAATTTACAGATGCAGGGCCGAAAAGCAGGCATAGAGACACATGCTCACGTTGTTGCATCATATGTCCCTGAGAATTTGAGACAAGGACTCTCATATTATGATTCAACGGTGCTATTCTGTTGTACATTCTTGACTCCCAAGGTTGGCAAAGTGAAGGTTTCTTGACTGAGCCATGCTTCAGTGGAGCTTTGTGAAGATATGTATTGGCTGAAGGCAACTTATGACTCAAAAAAAGCAACACTTGCTGGTAAATGGTTCATCACGGCATCACGGGTCTGAGTCCCAAATACTAAACATTCCAGGCAGGCTTGAAGGGTACCTCGACAGTTGTTAGACACAATGCAGATGAGAAGCTATTAGAAACAAGTGCATCGCTTCTAGTAACAAGTGCCTTACTAGTAGTAACAAGGTTCGCTTCTAGGGGCTCCTGGCCTTACTACGAACGGAGCGATCGGACGCTACGAACGGAGCAAACCTGATTGAGTGAATCCCCTCGCATCGATTCCGGAAGGACGACATGCAGAAGACCTACTTCAACTTCTTCCTGACGTCCACGTCAGGTCAGCCTCTGTGTTTTTTTTCTTGTCCAATTCAACAACAACCTACAGCAACATAGACTCTCCGTCACTGTCAACTCGAATCCAAGAACTGGTTTTGTCGCGTGTGTTTTCTCCACCTGAAATAACTTGGATATTGATAGTATTCTGCCCATTTCATTTCGCTGAATGCTTGTACGGTAAAACCACAGCCAGCTTCAATCTCCTAGAAATTTCATCCCCAGAACAAGAAAGAGATCCCTAGTATCGGGTTTTTGACCGCAGGTGTTATCGCTCTTTCCGTGGGCTCTCTGGAATTGCTGGGTTTGCCAGCCGCGCTGGGCATGCCTGGTCTGGGCGATCATGGATTCTGGCAAGGTGTAGAGACTTTGAACAATCACTTTGAGATGCTAGGAATTGTGACCCGGCTGCAGCGGCCACAGGAGGCCAGTTTTTGGGGGTTAAGGGGGTGGATCCCAAGGTAGAGGACTTGAGGAATGCTAGTGATAGACAGTACATTAACATACCTTCACCAACCCAATGATTAGCGGAGGTACATCGGACATCGGAATTCTCTTTTGTTTTAGAAGGATTGTTTGTAACATGCACGCCATGTGGCACGCCATGTAGCACGCCGCTTGTGAAGAGGATGTTATGTAATTCGATCAAGGATCATGGTGTTCACACATCATAGCCTTCACAGAAAGAATCATCCACACCTGCAATTTCATAACATCTCACAATTATTCCTGAACCAATCCCCATTAATGAATAATGCCTGCCACATAATTAATTAATCAAATCCCCAGAAAGTATTCGATAGGCATCTCCATGCCATATATTTATATAGATAGATGCTCCGTACATGTCCATGTCTTCACAGACGGATCCAGCATCCATGTCAAATGTCAGTTACTTCAGGTTTCACCACCTTTACCACTTGAGAAAGGCCGTGGTGGTTTTCACATGTTTTCTCCGAGGCTGCTGTGAGTTTCTTCGCCTTTTCCATGCTGGTGGCCTGGTGCTGCTATCGACGGGTCACTGGGTGCCGGTCCACAGAACATGACCGGGTGCGAAGAGGCAGAGCGGAGGGGATTGTAGAGCTCAGGGAGTTTGGAAAGTCCACATGGCAACCTATGTGGATTGTGCAAGCTGAACAGCGTGAATCACAGTGATTTGATGTATGTCACTCAATCGGAAATCGGGACGTTTCAAAGTTAGTCTGAGATGTTGCAGTTGGTTATATAAAGCAATTTCAAAGTTGCTGGGTGAAGTCGTGATGGTGTCTGTGACCGACCCCACTTAGCAGACGAGATCTGGTGGTTCAGGATAGTGTTCACCTAGAAACAATGAAACGATCCAACTTGATTACACTGTAAAGGATTCCAACCTCCCACAAAACGTACCCTGCTTCACTGTTTTCGTTGGAAAGCACGCCACAACTCCAGTAGTTTCACGATGTTTCCCATTCACATCATCACTTTGGGACTTTGGTGAGAGGGTTTGGACACACTATAACCACATGTCAAAAATATGCCCAAATAATCGACTGAAACAGGAATAAGTTCATGTCAAACTCACCGTCAGTTGACAACTGGCATCTTCTAGTAGCCCACTTGAACAAACATTTGAAGTGAATGAACAACACTTCGACTCACCATGTCACGTGCACGTAATTAGTTATCTGGGATCTAGAAACATCATAAACCATACCATCACCTGTGAGTCCTAGGAGGCATAGATTCCTCCAAAGCATTCACTGCAAATGTATCAGTTTATCACTGAGACACAACCTTTTGCCCCTGTGCTCCTCCCAAAATGTTCCTGAACTAAGAAGTTGCAGGTCTGGTGCGCTATGTGGAAAACGGGAACTTGATTGACCGTTCCGGCGTGTGAGGAAAAAAGACATGTCTGCAGCTTGCCGTGGGGGCTTCCCTTTTCTTTCAGATCCGGAATTCGACCCGCGAATCTGCAAAGCCGGAAACACGCCAGACAGACAGTTGCAATTATCAAACTGATACAGAGGAGGGGTCTTTGAATTTCATTGCAGACTCTGATGTTTTTGGATGCAAAGGACTCAATGTAGGTTACCTTTGCTGGAATAATTGAAAGAAACAATGAGAAAGGCATGCAGGTCTCCAACTCACCTGTGCCTTGGTTCCTACCGAAGCATACTTTTCCCCATGTTACGAACATGGGGAGCGCTGAGCTGGCGTCACGCATGCTGGGACGTTTGATGTCTTAATTTTTGTAATTATTGCATGACATTTTGCGTCTCACTTCTTTCATGTGTCCCTCAAACAGAAGAGACCTCAAGTCTGCCGGTGGGATAACGAGCCGTGTTCAGGACCAGCAGCCCTCTACTGCCTCTGCGCAGGCAGCTGGTTCGGACCACCATGCGGAAGCAAGGGACATGCAATGATATGGCTCAAAACAAAGGGGGTACTGGGTGCCATAGAAAATTGCGGGAACCTTTTTTGGTTCCGTTCACATCGTTGATGCTCAAAAAACCGTGGATACACCAAGAACAGGGGCATTGCGAAACACACTTGGGAGCCGTGCAGGCGAAGCAAGCCGTGCCCCTCCAGGAGATTTCTGGAAAATCTATTGGTCTCAACTGAAAACGGATGCAGCGTTGGTAGAGCTCACAGACACAGAGATTGAAAAAGAGTCGCTCCATGTGGGAGGGACGCACAACACCGCGGTTCTCTCGCATCAAAACACCGCGGTCGGGTGATCTGGATCTCCTCGTCGTTCTCGTCGGATGTGTTGAGCCTCTCCGGAGGCTCCACGGTTTGCGGCGGAAGGGATGACCATTTTTGACTTCTTCGACGGCATGGAGGGACCATGAGGGATGAATGAGGGATGAGGTCGACTTCTGACTGTGCCTCGGCTGGGAATGTGGGTTTAAGGGGCTCGCTCATAGAGTTTGCGGGCCTTTGGTTGGCATCAAGTACTTTGGAACAGACAGGATTTTGGATTCCTTCCCCCTGCCAAGAATCAGCTAGAGTCGCATTGCAGTGTTGGTGTTTGTTGCTGACAGGTGCAAGGTTTGCCAAGAAGTCAATCAAACTGTCAAACCACAGTTTGGGATACAAACAGATAGCTCGACACACAGTTCTGGTGAAAAGACATGGTTCTTCACCATGTCTTTGCCATTTGATTGTTCAGTTCTTTTCCCTTCGACCTGAGATGATCAAGGCCCCAGAAGAAGGTTCAGACTTCCTCACCATGGTTCTTTCCCCAAGGCCCCAGGCATTCTGGTGGTTTTATCTGAGGCGTCCACGACCCTGAAGAATCTGAACTCACATCAAGGTGGGCAGTCCGGCGGAATGAGACATCGACGACACGTTTGGGCGTGGTGACTTGTAAACATTTGGGCCAACCAACAGGTTGGGCTGATTTGGGCCATTGTATCGGATGAATTGTCAAGAACTTGGTTCTGGAGGTCTTATAATATGGGTTAGGCGAATCCAAGACCCTACAAACCCTAGATCTCTGTAGACCCCAACAATCACACGTCAGAAATCCCGGCCGTCAGAAATCCCAAGTTTAAGAGACACCAAGCCGAGTTAAGAAACACCAAGTTGAAGAATTTCAGAAATTCAGAAATTGTTAATTTCTGAATTTGCGTAAAGAAGTAACGTTTTTCAGTAATTCAGAAATTGTTAATTTCCGAATTTCCGCCAAACTAGGTAAAAAAGTAAAGCTTTTCAGAAATTCGGAAATTGTTAATTTCCGAATTTCCGCCAAACTATACATAAAAGTAAAGTTTTTCAGAAATTCGGAAATTGTTAATTTCCGAATTTGCGCCAAACGATGTAAAAAAGTAAAGTTTTTCAGAAATTCGGAAACTGTTAATTTCCAAGTTTCCGCCAAACTATACATAAAAGTAAAGTTTTTTCAGAAATTCGGAAATTGTTAATTTCCGAATTTCCGCCAAACGATGTAAAAAAGGATTTTTTCAGAAATTCGGAAATTGTTAGTTTCCGAATTTCCACCAAACTATGTAAAAAAGTATAATTTTTTCAGAAATTCGGAAATTAACACGATATAGCAATTCAGAAATATTTCATTTCGGAGTTTCCGATAAACGATGTAAAAAGTACAGGTTTTCATACCTTCCGAAATTGCTCATTTCCTATTTTTCGCCAAACCAGACATTGCGCAGGCAGCGTCCGGCTGCCAGCCAGAAGTGGAACGTTTGTACTTGCATTGTAAAATTTGCCATCTAGCCTCTTTTTCTCATCTCGGCGCACCCACTGAACGCATGGCACGCCTGCCGAACACATGGCTCTTCAAGTGGAACACCATCAGACCAGCAGATTTGGGGAGTGGCTGGTCGCGCTGGATGATGGGCAGCTTCTCTTTCGCCAAGGCAAGATGCGTTTGTTGGCTCCACCTCCGGCTTCGCCCCCAACAGCGCCAGGACAAGATGACGAGTCGGATGACCGCGATGGGTGTTTTTATTGGGTCCTTCCGAAGCATTGTTCGAATCAGGGTGCTTTAGGCAAAAGTGGCCTGACTAGCAAGAGCCTTACAGGCATTCCGGCTGTCAGGCAGAATCCAGCTCTTTTCCAGATTCCGTCGCGGCAAAGACCCGCGTGCTCTGTGCTGCTGACAGCCAGCCACCTCGAAGAGAATTGCAACCCGAAACCAAAAGGTATCCTGCATGGGCACGCGCTCCGGTTTTCACTTTCGAGGCCAAGCAACCAAACAGATCTTGAGCCGCTTGAACCTGTAAGATGTAAGGCTTCTGACTGAGTGTTGAACTTGTTGAGCGCGCTCAGGGCATGGAGCGCGCGCAGGGCAAGTCGATCTTCAGCAGCCTCAGCCTCAAGCGTAGTATCGTCTAGTTTTGTATGGCTGCTGAATCCGGCTGACAGCCAGCTCACGCTGCCCAAATACCAAAAGAAAAGACCTTCGGGCAAAAGCGGCTGGGCAGCGCGCAACCAAAAAAGGTCACAACGTAGAAAAACATTGCGCGACGTTGCCCTGCGCTATCATCGCTTTGTGGTTGGGCGCCTGCCGCCGATCAAGCCACTCCTGCGCATCAATGGCAAGCAGTCAGCGCTCATGGCCTGTAGGAAACTGTCCAAGGTGATGGTAGACAGTGAAGCGCAGACCGACGCCAATGGCACTGAGAGTCAGCTGAGCGAGCTGGCCAGTCAGCTGCAGCGCGAGAAGGCAGCCAACGCGGAGCTCTTGCAGCTGCTGCTGAAGGATGAGCCGAGCCATATGTGGTCTGTGTGCTCTCCTTCTGCCAGCGAGATGAGGATGCCACCAGAGCACCAGCAATGACAATGAATGCTGCGTCGAGAAAAAGAAGCTTCATTCGTGCTTCACGCTGTTGAGCTCACTGAGCCACGTCACGCGCTCCTCTACCGGAGCGCGCTCTTGTGACAGGGTGTGCATTTCTAAGGAAACCATTGCGCAGTGGAGCGCGCTCTTGCGCGCAATGGTTTTTTCCATGAGATCGCTGACGGAGTCTATACGTTTCCGCGCACTTGTGTGCAATGTGTCCTATGCGTCCATGAGATTATACTGACCGGGGCGCGCATCTCTGTGAAACCATTGCGCACGTAAGAGCGCGCTCCGCTGCCGGAGCGCGCTCTTGCGCGCAATGATTTCCTTAGAAATGCAGACCCCCGTCATGAATCTCATGGACCTGGAACATTGCGCACAAGAGCATGCTCCGGCAGCGGAGCGCGCTCTTGCAATGGTTTCCTTAGAAGTGGACGCCCCTGTCACGAATCTCATAGAACACCATAGCACACAAGCGCGCGCTCCCGAAGCGCGCTCTTGTGCGCAATGGTTTTCTGAGAAACGTACACCCCACTCAGCGATCTCATAGAGAACCATTGTTGCGCGCAAGAGAACGCACACCCCGTCATGAACCTCATAGAACACCATTGCAGACCCCTGTCATGAATCTCACAGAACACCATTGCACACAAGAGCGCGCTCCGCTGCCGGAGCGCGCTTTTGTGCGCTATGATGTTCTATGTCCACTTCTAAAGAATGCACACAAGAGCGCCGCCTTGCGCGCAATTAATGCTTTTGTTAGTAACACGCGCCCCGGTCAGCAAACGATAGAAAACCATTGCGCACAAGAGCGCGCTCCGGCAGCGGAGCGCGCTCTTGCGTGCAATGGTTTTCTTCAATATGCAAGCCCCAGTCAGCAAGCTCATACAAAAAAACGCTCAAGAGTCAGCGATGTGACTCACTGATTCACATTACATGTTTGCTTCCCATGATTTTTTGGCTCTCAGTGCGGCTGCCAGCCACGAGCAGCTCGTTGAAAAAGGACCAGTGCATTCCAGGGGCTCAGGGAATGTCTTGTGAAGACGACCTGCTTGCCATGGAAGCCGAGCTGTTGAGCGCGCGCAAGCAGTGCCAAGCCACAGGCGCTCCGCTGCGTTCTTGCAGTTGGCCAGGATGGCCAAAGCAGCAAAGAAGCAAGGCCAGAAGCAAGGCCAGGTCAGCCAGAGAGCAGTGCCCCCATTCAGGCCAGATGGCTGCACAGCCCTTCACATGGCTTGCGGCACAGGTGGAGGAGATGCGCGATTGCGGTGCAACCTCATCCGGCAGATGGTGGAGCTGAAAGCAGACCTCACAGCCAGGGACACGCGTGGAGCAACCCCCCTGTTGAGAGCTGCAGGCAGCAATGAGAGCTGACCCACATGAGGTGCATACGACAACAAGAAGGAACGCCTTCGATATGGCCAACGCTGCTGTCCGCGACATCCTGCGAGATTATGGCGCAAGGGCAACCGGCTCAACAGGACCTTCCAGCCGCGCTGCTTTCCCAAACCGCAGCCGTGACTCCGTACAGGACAGGCCTGGAGGCGCGAGCGACAGTCGACGGCAGCGGGCTGCAGCTTGGCTCAAGCGGCGTTGAAGCCAGCCAGCGCAGCTGTTGCAGCTGCTTTGCTCGGAGTTTTTTTCAGGCTTGAATGCACTGACTTGTGCTG